AAAAATTAAAGTATGTGTTTTATCTGCAATAAGGAGATCTTAGAATTATCTGAGAACTTTAAGCTTGCAATTTTTGCGTGTTTAAAGGGCACAGAATCTCAACACAGGTACTATAATTTCATCTTTCTCCTTTCAAACTGATGTAGAATTAGAAGACAAGAAGCTGCTTCTGTCGTGTCTAATGGACAGTAGTGATTTGTGCTGCCAAACCTCAGAGCTGAGCACATGTGAAGTAGTTGAAAGCAGAATTTACACTTGGAACTGGGTAGGTTAAAGATTGGGAGGGAGGGGCAGCAAAATTAATTTTCAGATAAATAAAATATGACACAGTGTTATATTTGAAGAGTTATTTGAGGGGTGATACTTCTGTTGGAATTGAAGAGTTGCTTTGCCTTTAAAAGGAAAGTGGTTTATTTCCACTTGATAATTCCATTTTCAGGGTTGTAGTTTTGGTGCACTGATACTCTGAATTTTACAAATTTCAGTTCTTGGTTGACAGTAATTTTTGGAAAAAAAAAAGAAGATACTTGCAGTCTAATTTAAGTAGCAGCACCTTGTGGTTTTACATGGCGTGTAGGAGTGGATGGATGAAAAGTGCCATGTAACTGGGGTTGGTATTCTGACCTGTAAAGGGAGGGAGAGGTAAACACTCTCCAAAAGGGCACAGCAGCAGAGCCAGAAGTAACGCCAAAAGGGTCAAGGTTCTCTGAGCCTGCTTTCTCCTCTAGCAGAAGCCTTTGTAAGAGTACATTTAGCCCAATTTTTAAAATACTCAGGTTATAGGGTAAGTACACTATGTATAATACTGAAAAAAATAATTGAACCTATTTTACTGTGAACTGAGTATTTGGCTCTAGGTGACCGGTGGAAGCTGTCCTACTAAGGCTGGGAATTAGTAAGTTGTGTTCCTCCAAACCTCGTGACTGTTCACCTGACTTTATTTTACCTTTTTTTACAGATTGAATTTGTGTATATATTTGTAATTTTTTTTTTTGGCTAGAAATTTCATTCATTGGAGTCTGTTTCCCAGGATATAAACAAATAGCAGGCAACCATACTAACTCCTAAAGTGTTAAGGCTGCGTTTTAAAACCCCATTGTTTTCCTTTTGGCATCTGATGTCGATACCCTGTGACCAGGCACATGTGAACCTTCTGCCCGCGGGCAGAGAGACAGAAACCCCTCAGGGCCACGTCCTCGCAATTTCCAAAACATGACAGTGCAAAAGTGAGCATTAAGGTGTAAAAAAAAAAAAAAAAAAAAAAAAAAAAAAGTATGTTCAACACTCCACCAAGCCTGCTCTGGCCACGTCTTAAACTCCTGACGGTGCATTTTTGCAGTAGTAGTGCTTGGTTATCGGATTGAAGACAGATTTGAAGAACTAGGGAAAGGAGCAGATTCAGTACAGAAAACACACATTCTCCAACCCCCCCTTTTTTT